CTCCCAAGAAAAACAAAAAAAACCTAGGGATTCACTTTTTATTTTCAAATGTGAAATCATCATATTTAAAAATCTTGACTCAATTAAGAAAAATATCCTTTGGGTGGGCCAAACCAAACATATCTGCTTGGCTGTAATGTGGCCAATAATCTATGAACTCTGGCCTAGAACTTCACAAACAAAAGCATGTTTCTTACTTTCCCTGTTTCTCATTAAATATCTCTTTCTCTGTCTCTGTCTCTGTCTCTGTCTCTCTCTCTCCTCCTCCTCCTCTTTTAGAATATAAAAGCAATTAACTTGTAAATGATACGGAGAATTCAGACCATGGGAATAAATGTCTGCCTTTAAGGAAAAAATTCCCATTATTTTAGATAGTTCAATTACAATGAAAGGAAGCCACAAGGTAATTCCCAATAGGTAATCTTGTATATTAAGTCATTATTAAATTGCTGTACTGCAGTTATTAATATTAGCAACCAAGCATATGGATTGCAGATATATATATATATATATACATATATAATATATTAAGGGATATGAAAGAATGAATTTGTGCATTTATAAGCAGCATCTCATCTTCCTCTGTACTAATCAGAAAAATAGAGCAGTTTGCTACTTCAGATAAAGGGAGCACGGGGTGGCCTTTCTCTTCCAAACTCTCATCCACGTCCTTGATTTATGGAATCTTTGGAATGCATAGTTTTCTTGGGGGTCAGTCTAAGTGAGTGAAGAAAAGTCAGTAGATTATGAGTCTCTTAAAAATATTTTAAAACTACAAAATTCATTGTCATCTCATCACCAGATTCCCTTCTGCATCCTTTTCCTACTGTTCTTACTTAGGGATTAATTTTCTGTTTCTCTTTTCATGGACCTATCTGGTAGTCATTTTCATAGTCCATTCATTAAGTAAGAAAAATGTTCCAGATACTGACACTGTGAGTTTTCTTTCCTGCCCAAAGTCCCTTCCTGGCAAGGCAGCTGCAGAAGTTCATAGCTAGGAATGTGCGCTGCACGACTTCCAGGAGCGCCCCTGATGCTTCTTTTGGAGGAGCGGCCCCTCCTGAGCTGTAGAGTTCAATTTGCACAGCTGTTCACATTGTCAGGCCCTGTGGCAACTGCCCCTGATCCAAAGGGAAGGACACAAAATTAACCAATTAATATATTGGAAGCTCCTGCTTATTCTTCCTAAAATGTGCACACCCAAAACCCAGGGCATAGATACACTGCAACCTATGATCATGTAACTTTTCTTTTAATGCTGTCTTCAAGACTGTTGCTAATGGATTCTAAAGGTGCTGGGCTGATTTGATCAGATTCACTTAGATGAGCTGTTGAAATAAAACTCTCGTCTGAAGACTCTAGTTTTGGAAGCCAAGCATATTCTACCTGCAGGTACCTGATGTGCAGCTATATTTGGGAAACACATTGCATACCCTATGCTGACTCACTGCATACCTTATGCTGTATGTCAGCTTTTCTGAAATATTCGCAACACTTGATACACCATGCTCCTCAGTGAATACCTTAGTTCTCTTCCACATATCCTCTATCTGCAAGAACTTTTCTTGAATTTTTCCATGCAGTGAACCTGCATCTTATGCTTTAGGACCTACACAAAATGATACTCTCCCAAACTGGACTTGTAAAGGAAGCCCCTTACTTTTTTCAATTACCTTGTTCTCCCTTTGAATCAATTATTTCTACCTCTTGGTTCCTGTGACAGTATCTATGATAAAAGTGAAGATTAAACATTGTTAGGAACATACCCTTAAAAGAATTTCTAAATCTACATTTTCATCCTAAATTTAGTTCACATCCTGTTTGTGTCAGAAGTTTAAATCAATAGCAATATCATTTCTAGCATAACAACTATAATGCCAATTTCTAGCACCAAAGTATCAACTGCTATTTAACATAAATATTTATCTAAAATAGATTTACACTATCACTTCAATAACTTTATACCATCAATTTCACTTCAATAGATTTATACCATCCATTTCAATAACTTTTAAAAACACATTAGCTTTCTGCCTCTGGAAGATGGGTTAGATGTTTTTCCCTATTCTTTCCACTAGGTATTTCACAGGCAACAAACAAAAGACTGAAAGGTACAGAGGTAAGCAGACCTCAGGATTTTAGGATCTGAAACATAACACTAGGGTGAGTCCCCGTTTGGGTGTTTGTTTGATTTTCTTACCTCATATATTCTAGACCAGGCCATGGAAGATCCAGCAATGCAAACAACTTATTGGCTCAGACAACAACCAAAAATTCCAACCAAAATCTGCTTTCCTTAAATTGAAGATTAGAAGGTAACAGCTCTGTGGGGGAGGTCCACCAGTTAGCCAGAGCTTATAGGACAGGGAAGGGCAAGACAGGTGGGAATCACTGTCTGATGAGCTAAGCCTCCTGGAACGAATGAGAAGGTGGTGGCAAGAGGGATCCAGAAGGCAGGCCGAAGACAGACATATGGGAAAGCCTAGCTATTTGCCCTTCACTCTTGATGAGAACTTGGGATCTTAAAAATTATACAAGTGGTGACTGAAAAATATAGTAAACGTTTAAGTTTTTAAAAATTCATTACAGTAAAAGATACAGTGCCATGAATCCCCCTCAAAACACTCTGGCTTTCTTCAAACACATTTATCCCATAATTCTTGCCACTTTCTGAAGCAGTTCTGCAGGTCCTCTTTTGTGTCTTTATGAAGTGTGATAAAAAATAAGCTGAATGTTTCCAAGTGCCACCCAGCGGAAAGGCAGGCGCATAAAAAAATCACAGCTTGTCCTCATCCACTTTATTTACTGGATCAGGCGTCATACAACCTCTGGCTCTTTCCTAAAGTCAAAATGACCATGAAAGGTTAATGTTTTGAGTGGATTCAGAACATTGAGGCATGGTGGAGACCACTATGAAGTAGTGCTGAGCAGGCCTTAGGATTAACCAATTGGTTTTCTATATTTACTTATGTCTGTCCCAGGCCTAGACAACTAGCTTAAAGAGCTTGCTCAAAGGCATGCAGTAAGTACAACTCTTAGTCACAATGGAGGCGGATATTGGTCCACGACACTGTGACACCTCTGAGGGCAAGATAAGATCTCTGTTGAGGACATTTGGCTCCCCTCCAATGCCAGGGCAATACCTGCCAACCTTAAAGACAAAACAGGTCTCTTGATTAGCAAGATTTATTACCTAAGAATGTCTTTGTTCTAACTTCTCAAGGCCTTGTTCATTTTCATGCCTTCTACTTTGGCTATTCCCTTCACTGCCCTACACATCTCCTCAAATCTATTGAAAACCCAATAAATATTGGCAGTCCGGAGAAGTCTTTGTCTTAACTTCAAGAGTCCTGACCTTCCTGGATCCCCAAAACCATACTACTTGTCTCTTATTTAAGCCTTCACCATCACTCATCATAGAGAGGGAGCAAGGCCAAGCCCCCTATAGCAGCAGCCATGACAGTGCAATAAAAGACAAAAAAGAGGACTTCCAGAACTGCTTCAGAAATGATGGGATCAAGATGATGGGATCAATGTATTCAAAGTCAGTGGGAATATTTTGGGGGAGATTAATGATAATGTGTATTTTACCATAATACATCTTAAAAATTTAAGCATTCACACATTTCTTGACCAGACCTTATATGTCTGATGACCCTGCCTGGAGATTTTTGGGTACTTTATTTTGTCAAAGTCCTGAAGATGATTCTAAGGTGTGATAAGCATTTAAGAAAATTATTAATGTGTTTTACTATTAAACTAGTAAGAAAACAAAAAGGATTCTCCATAAACAAAAAAATGATTCAGAAGGTACAATTCAGGAAACCCATAAAGGATACAAGTGACCCATATCCCCATCTAGCAAGGAGACTGGGGACACAAAGGAAGTCTCCCTGGAACAATGAAACAGAAACCAGGGGCTGGGATGGGATTTGAAGACTCCCAAAATATTGTGGGAATATTAATAGAAATTAGGTCAAGAAGTAACACATTCTTACTTTATATTCCAAAGAATGAGCAGTTCAGAGGAACAACAAGAAAACAGAAAAACTCTACAATCACTTTAGAACTGCCTGGATACCATCCCTGCTGATGTACTGAGGGGACAGTAGATGGCTATGAAATCAGCCTGTTTTAAAACTGAGAGTACAAAATGCTGTGTGAAGGCAAGCAGCAGGGGTGTCAATCTAAATATAATTTATGTAATGTGAGCACTTGCCAGGCAAATTGTAAACATATTAGGAAATACTATAATCATACCTCAGTGGTTACTACCTTATATAATTTTTTGTATTTGACATTCTGGTTTTATAATTTATTAATTCTATGTCTATGAATTTCTTTTCAAATATATAATACTCATGACCTGCGATACTCTGAAAATATAGTATGGAAGCATTTTCATTCTTTAACAAACATAAATAGTAACATATATGCATTCTGGTCTATTAATAAACACTTTCAAATTTTTAACTGGATCCTGCCAGTGCTCTGACAGTATAAATCAGGCAGGAACCAGAATTACTACTACATATAAAAGGAAATCAAGAAATTTGCTCAAGAGCCTCTACGTTTTGTGCAGCCTCAGAATTTTACAGTTTCTCACAGCACAACTGTTCTGGTTGCTAGGAAGCCTGTGTCTTACTGATCATTTCTGATCAGGCTCAGTGAAAAAGTGTGGCCACTTGTTGCAGAGACCAGGCCAGTGGCAAGCTCTGGTCTGGGAGAAATACCAGAAAAAGAAGGCTGAGGAATTTTGTCCCGAACACTAACAGTATCTGTTGTTTTACCCAAAAGGTTGAAAAGGATGGAAAAACTTGCCACTGGACTCCCTGGCAAAGGAAGCAAACTCTGACCTTCCTGAAAGCTGAGGCTTCAGAAGTTAAAAGTGAGAAACATTACTAACATTTTCACTTAAATGCCCTGAATGTTCAAGTTGTCTTGAAAGAGTATTACATTTAGTTTTCCTATTTCACAGAAGTGAAAAATGAAACAAAAGAAGCACTCAAAGTCATAACTTTATTTTTGCAATGATTTGTTGTATGCCTAAAAGAGGCAACATTTAATGAGCAAACAGTAATAAAGGTATTTTTTCAAAAGCCACCTGTGATTGTAAAATCAGCTTCTCTAAAATACAGAGAAATTAGATCTTGCTTTTCTGACAGCAACACTCAACAATACACTGAACAACTAAAAACTCTTATAAAGAGCAGCTTTATAAAATCTATCACAAATAACATTTGACCATAATACTTCAGAATCAAATCTTAGTAATCTTCAGGGAAGAGAGTAACACTGATTCCCAGATCATCACAGCCATCATTTTCCATTTCTTTCTCATTTTCTTCAGGGATACACTTGCCATGTGCTTTGGCCGCTTTTCTTTCTTTCTTAGGAGAACCGGTTGGGTTGTTTTTCTCTTTGAACTTGGGATGTGAGTTAGTCACTGTTTTTCTTTCCAAAGCATGTTGTAGGCAGTTGTAAAACCTGTAAAGAATTAAGTCCTAGAATGACTGAAACAAACTTGGAACTTACATAAACTTGACAATTTCCTATACTAGCCTTATAAAAATAAAATAATTGAAGAGATACTATGTTTTGTGGCTTTAGCAATGTAGGATTAGGAAAATCAATGTCTTTTCAGTTCTGTAATAACACTCCTCAAAACTGGGTTGGAATCACTTTTGACACTGCCTACCCAACCTCAATTTCTATCCCAAATGTAGGGGCTAAGCCAAGGGGGTAAAAATTGGAAATTGCTACTTCATTTTAAAAAATCGTAAGTGTAAAAGGCTCAGTTGAGCGAATCTGAAAAATAAAGTTACAAATATAGGTCACCTCTACCTAGAAATAACTACTTTCAATATTTACTTTCCATTTTATTAATGTAGTCTGAATTAATATATTAATTAGTACACATGCAGCTATTTTTTACACAATTAGAACATCACATCATTTTACACTGTTCCATCAAATTTAATATTTACTGAAAACAATTTTCAAATGATCAAAGTAAACTACAAAGTTATACTTTTAACAGTAACATTATCAAGATTGGCCTTCACTTTAAAATTTTCCTTAATACTAACAACGGTGTGATAAACACTTTTGAAAATGCCCTGATCCGAATTTCTGGTCATTTCTTTAGAACAGAAACCTAAAAATGCAATCTCATGGTTAAAAGATATAGAGCAGTGGTGGAAACCTATGGCACGCATGCTGCCTTGTGCTGTTTGTACCACTGAAAGCTGTAAAAAGTTCGCCATTCCTGGCACAGACATTTTAAGAGTCTTGGTCAAGACTTCCTGCTTTCCAGAATAATGTTCAAAAGATATGCTTCTAATATTAGTACTTGAGAGCGACCACTTCATTCACAGACGTGATAATGAAACATGCCCTACTTCGATAGGTGAAAAATGGCATCTCATTAATTTTCATTTCTTTGTAAGTGGAATTGATTTTTTCACTTATTAGCTGACTTTTTAAAGTGTAAATTATTCTTTCCCCTCATTCACTTTTCCAGTGCATTTTAATACTAACTTTGTGCTGCACCATGATAAGCTCCCCAACAACAGGCTTCCCCGCTTTCCTCGGCCGTGTCTCCGAGACTCGGCCCGACAAAGGAGCCTTTCGTGAGTGTGGCCCCGCAGCAGGTGCTTGTGTGTCAGACGCCAGTGCTCCGGTGGGAAAGCTGAGGTCTCCGAGTTCCAATGAGCTTCACTGCGCTTTGATTTCCTCATGTATGAAAGCGGGTATTACTGTTGTGTGCTTAGCAGGATGTCAGAGGATCACACAGGAGATAGGTAGCTACTGAGCAGTGTTTGGCTAGACTTCTTGATAATGGCTATATTTATGGAGTACAGACCTCATGAGAACAAGGACCTGTGGACTTGTTTTCTGTTTAATTGTTCTATGCAGTCCAGGGCTGGAACACTCGTAAAGATGTGCAGAATAAATAAATGAATAAATACTGAACAAAAACGCAGCTATAGATCTCTCCCCCCACACCTGGCTCCTTCCTTCCTTTCTTGGGATTGGACCCAAGGGGTCTCTCTACCACTGACCTATACTGCCAATGCTTTATGTTATTATTTTTTTAAATCTTGAGACAGGGTCTTGCTAAATGACACAGGTTGACCTCAGATTGAACCTCCTGCATCAGCCTCCCAACTGGTTTGAATAACAGGCATGTGTTATCACTAATTCAATGAACAGGTTGGGTTCTACTTGGAACGGCTCTAAAATTCTAAAACCTCAAATATCCATCAACTCCCAAACAACCCACACAGCTCTAACGTATACACTACAAGATACTGCATATCTTGCCTGTATTTTAAGAATTTAAGCACTCATCAAGCACTTGATATCCAGTGGTGTGCTTAGTATACAACAGGTGCTCAAAAACATTTCCTCAATGAATAAATCAACGTCCAAGGAGGTACAGGGAAAGAAAAGGCCTAAAAAACACTGACAAGTAACATTTTGAAACCTTTTCCCATGGCACCAATTTTTTTATTCAATGTACTCTTGATGTCCTTGACTAAAACTTGGCTACCACAGCCACCATTTCCTGTCGTTCATCTCAGTGGGGGCTGCTTTTTCTGTCCCTATCGCACTGACCATGGAGTTGAGAGATGAGATCAGAATTCAACAGGCTCAGCAACGCTTTCCCAGATTAAACTGCTCCACCTGCTGCCCATGCCGTCTACCCATTCCCTTCAGACCCTTTCAGTTACGAAAACTTTGACACTTGGTACCATCTTTCCCTCCAGGTCCTGTCACCATCTTGGTGACTTCAGAGCTGGGGTTTCTTCTCCTCTTAAATGCTACCCATGAGGGATGACCTGACATGTGGGTGTGAGCAGGCTGTGAGAAGGAGTGAGCACCCTTCCCTGATCCTGAGACGCTGTCCCTCTTAGGTAAGCTTCTCTGTGAACCTCAGACCCAGCTGGCCAAGGGTTTTATCTGGCTTAGGCTTTATCCCAAGAAAATGTAAGGTACAATTAAACTACCCTTTTATCATCACAGAGAATTAATAGCTTGTATACAATCTTTTTCTTTTTTTTTCGAGACAGAGTCTCGCTATGCAGTTCAGGCTAGCCTTGAGCTCACTTTGTAGCCCATGCTGGTCTCGAACTTGCAAAGATCCTCCTGCCTCAGCCTCCCGAGTGCTGGGATTACAGGCGTGCGCCACCATGTCTGGCTACAATCCTTTTTCAAATGCATTAAAAAATGTATTGAATGCTTTACTTTAATTTCTCATTAAAGAATCTAACTATCCAAAGCTGTGCCCTTAGGTTACCAAAAAACAACTGCGGAAATGGAACAAAGATCCTTTCTTGCTAAAAATCAAGAATAACAACTTCAAATGCTACTTTTCCCTTTCTGAAGAGAAATCCTCTGAGAGAAAGTCAGAAATTTGGTTTGCGATTATATGCTCTCGCCTCATGCTATGACCCTTGATACCTCATCCTAAAAAACAATTCTCCAAGTGTAATTTTCTCAGCTCTTACAGGCAACAGAAAGAGCTCTGAATAAATAAAAAAGCGTATGCAGGCACTGATACGTCCCCCAAAAGGAAAGCAAATCAAATTGTCTTCAATTTTTCTACCTCTCCAGTCCAGATTATCATGCCGTAAGACAACTTCTACTTAACTCTCCCCATGATAGAAGAACTTTAGGCCGCCCTGAAAAAAACGAATTCTTGGTTTGCAGCGTCAGGGGACCGTCTGTAAGAAAAGCTAAAAATCCTTTGGCTTCTGAAACAGAAGCAGAAACTGGAGGAAATCTAGGCCCAATTTCATGCTCATTTCGGCTGACATCAATGATAAATATCAAAAATGACTCTTCTGCTGTGCGTGTATTTGGATTTTAGCTGATTAAGTGCTGGCGTTCTAATTCATAAAATGCCATGCAGGTGACAGGCCCGTGCCCAGTACTAGAAACGCAGGTAAGAGATGTGATCTGTGCCGAGAAGCTCACGGCTTAAGGAGAGCTGCAGTGCTGTAAAGCCACATTCGGAAAAGCATACGATAAAGTAGGAGCACGCCAGAGGAGCGCTGCTCCCATTGAGATGTGGAAGACCAAACCCTACTGGGCTAGCGGTGAATCCATGCCCAGGAACAGAATCCTGGAGAACAAGCAAAGGTACAGTAAAAACAGATAGCCACAAGGAAGTGAAGATAGGTAGAAAACAGCAGTGATGGAGCAGAAAGCCTCTCTTCTTCTATCTTCCGGGCGCATCAGGCCTACTTAAGCACCCCTTTCTCTGCTGCTGCTGCTCCTTCTCCCACTGTGCAGCTCCCCGCTCCCAGGGCTCTTATAAAGTTCCTGCCTGCCCTTACGTATGACTCACTGCCTTCTTCCATGAAGCATCCTTTGATTACACTTGTGCTTCACAGCTGAATTCTAATGCTGCTGCGTTTTGAAATCTGACAGTACCAGGCACCTTTCTAGGATATGTGCCACTTGCCAGGCTGAAGTGGTTATTTCATTTCTGTGCCTGTCTGAACCTCCACTATGCCACTATAAAAGGTGTGTGAGCAGGAGCCATCTGAATTCATCTCGGAGTGCAGCGCCCAGCAGTCCCTCACATAGCTTCCTCTGCATATGTCTGTTGAAAGAACATATAAATATTGGTTCAACTTCATCCAGCCTACCACCTCCATGATGCAGTATAGGTTACTCTAGAAATACTTGGTGATCCTTGCTGCCAAGAACTGAGTTCTGTCTGTCTAACCCGGGAGAGACTGAGAACAGAGCTGGGATGGGCTACAAGCAGAGTTTATAGATAACTTGGGAGGGCAGGGCAGTTTACTAGAAAAAGGGATGGCCAACAAAGGTTTTGTGAGGCCTCCGCTGAGTCATTTACTTATCAGGATTAAAAGTCAACCACTGGTTAAGTCTAAGTAACTCCAAGACCTAAATGCCAAGAAGTGAAACTATAAAGTTCTTAGGAAAAAAATAGGGGGAAAGCTTCACGATACTGAATTTGACAGTGATTTCTTGGATAAGACATCAAAAACACAAGCAACAAAAGAAAGAGGATAGACGCTGGACTTCATACAAATTTAAAGCTTTTAGGCACCAAAGGATTCAGTGAAGTAAAAAGGCAACATGCAGAATGGGCAAAATACCTGCAAATCATGTATCTGATAAGGGGTTAATATTCAGAATATATAAAGAACTTCTGCAGTCAACAACAAAAAAACAAACAATCCAATTAAAAATGGGCAAAGGACCCATTGATATTAAACAGATATTTTTCCAAAGAATACAGATGGCTGACAGACACACGAAATGATGCCAGCTTTCACTAATCGGTAGGGCACTGCAAAGCAAGACTATAATGAGATGTCACTTCATACCCTACTAGGTTGGTTATTGTCAAAAACTCAAAAAATACTAAGTATTGACAAGTATATGGTTCTGATTTATCACTGTTGGTGGTAATGTTAAAGAGGTACAGCTGTTGTGAAAAACAGTGCTACAGCTTTTAAAATATGAAATACAGAATTACCATACAGTGCAGCAGTTCTTCTTCTGGGCATATATACAAAAGAACCGAAAGCAGGGATTGCAGAGACACTGGACACCGTTGCTCAGAGCAGGATTATTCATAACAGCTCAAAGGTGGAAACAGGTCCCCTTGCCCACGGACAGGTCAGTGGATAAAGAAAACGTTGTCTATAAATCCAATGCAGTATGTTTCAGCCTTCAACAAAAATGAAATCCTAACGTATGCAGAAGCACGGATAAATCATGGAGATAATCCAAACATAAAAGGACAAATACATGATCTCAGGTGTGGGAACTATGGTGTGAGCTAGCTTTCCACCACTGTGAAAACTACCTGAGATAAACAACTTAAAAGGAGACTCATTTTGGCTAATGATCATCGTGGGCTTGAGGTGAGGCAAAATATAATGGCAGGGAGACTGTGCACAGCAAGCTTCTCATGTCATGGTTCCCAGTAAGGAGAGAGACACGGACAGACAGACAGACAGACGAGGCTTTTATGACAGAGTTTCTCTCCACAAGTCCAGTAAGCTCTGAATCCATAATGGATGAGTCCACTCCTGAGGACAGAGTTCTCACGATCTCTTCGCTCTCCAAAGCTCCTATCTCTGAACGCTGCTGTGATGGTGACCAAACCTTCAGCACAGGAAATTTGGGGGCAATCGTTAAGATCGGAACCGTAACAAACATCTATAATAGTCCAATTCCCGGAGACCTAAAATAGGGCCGTGTTTACCAAGGGCTGGAAGTATGGCTTAATAGGTACACAGCTGCTGTTCAGGGTGATGAGAAACTGTTCTAGATGGATAGTGGTGACAGTCCCATAACCAGGGAATATACTTGATGTCTCTGGTTAAAATGGTAACTTTCTTGTTATCCATATTTTACCACAGAAAAAGGAATTAAAAAAAAAAAAAACCAATACACATAGATTAAATTACTTTGTCTTTCAGATTTTTTTATCCTTAACAATATTATATACTAATATATTCAGCCCTTTTATTCTACATTTTATTTAACCTTTTCTTATTACATAGTTGATGAAAAGAAGAACATGCTTAATTTCATTCCACTCGTAGTCAAATGGTGGTTTCATCTGATGCATGTTCTGACCTCTTATTAATAGACACAAAGAAATCCTTCCTCTTGTAGTTAGTAAGTAGAGCTTCAAACTTCTTATGTTTCACCTGGAAACCATTATGTATAAATGATTTTACTACGCCTGGTGTCAGCCTCTGTCGCTTCCAGTCTGCAAATCGGCTGTTTATAAAGCAGGCTGCTACTCGCAGGCCCTGCCCTGCTCAGCTCCACAGCACACGGAAACCCAGCTGTTCCTGCTCGCTGAGTTCTTCCCACCTAGAAGTGGGAAAAACTGATGTTTGCAGAAACAAGAGGTTTTTCTTTCAAAAAGAAATATTCTGTCTCTGAAGACGTCCATGTTTCTAGACTATGTCTTGCTGCTCAAATGCTACATATTAGGTTTTTTGAGTTTTTACAGTTTTCCTATAGATATCTGAATTATGAAACTGGTCATATGACAAGACAATTTTAGCATCCCTATGTGATTGTGTAAGTCATCACCCCCTGTGTTTTACTTTTTTCTCTTTTTTCTACATCAGAAGAGTCACTCTTTCTCTGTATTTGGCAGAATATACAGCTGTTCCCAAAGGAGCTTGCTAATTTGTTCACACTTTCTGAATTCATATGTAATCTTCTAATCAGTATCTTGAGACACTTTTACCCTTCTTTAATTTTTCCCTGATTTTATATGATGAGCATGGCTCTCTTGATAGCAGTATGCATACTATAAGCTCCTAACACATTTTTGAGTCAGTGGATTTAAAGCATAATTTGATATTATAGTTGGTGAACGTGGCTCAATTAACTTCACCAGGTGTACACTTAGTTGCTCGTGGGCTATATTTATAATCTTGCTGAAATTCAAGTAAAAAAACAGAGAAAACTGATTTGCTACCTTCCACATTGTAGCATGCAGTCTCACTGGATTCCTACCTGACCAATGTAGTACACTTTTGGAGGGACACAAATAAGTGCTCGTGTGCAGTTCAAATCTAGGGTCTAGTGGATCGGCTAGGCACTCGCCAGTGGCTTACCTCAAATCATCACTGAATGTTTGTACTTCGTGGCTTGGTTTTCAGTTTGTTTTTTTCAGGCAGGTTTCACTTAGCAAATTATGCCCTCATCCTCTAAGACATTCCCTGATACAATGAATCAACATCTCTCCAGTGCATCTAAAATGGTACGTGATATACCATTTTTGGGAGAACTGAAAAAATAGTCTATTACTTTTGTGAATGCTATAGTTCAAACAAGGAACCTTGGTTGAGAAAGCTTGGATGGTGGTAGTGATGCGGTTATAGGTTTATTTCCATGAGCCAGGGGAGGAGGAGAAGGGTTATCCTATTCTGAGAGTCCAGGATATGACAGGGAGAACCACTCCTTATGCACATATAAGCTAACGAATACTAGTAATTATTATTCAAGATATACATTTCCCAGGAATTAGAGATAAGAAAAATGAGGCCCCAAGAGTAACTTGGTGGAACCAGGATTTGAACCCAGCTTTGCCTAAGGACACTAGTTGTTTTCACCATGCTACACTGCTATCATTGGTACTCCTGGTCTTGGCTGATTCAAACAAGTGCTAGGTTTTGAAGAATTTTAAGCAGACAAGCCAAGCAACACATTCCTTTGCACTTTATAGACATGATTCGTATTTTGTAGGATGTGGATAATCACATAGTAGAGACCTATGATGACTTAATGAGGCTATACAGTGGTTCTGAGTGAAGGAAGTAGCGGTAAGGATGGAGAGAATGATAGCTGAAGCGGTACTTAGGCAGTAACTGAGGGGAGGTGCAGTGGCCGTACAAGTAGGGAGAAAGAAAACAGGAAATTATGATACCCAATTGGCCACCTCTCCTTGAGTAACTCGAGATGGACAATCTGGTGAAGGTAGTTAGTGGCATTATCTTTGTGTATGAAAGGCAGTACAAGATTTAATTACCTATAAACTCTCTTCTTAGGAAAAGGTTGAAAAAGAAAGTAATGCTAAGCGTCATTTGTCAGGAGGTGAATTTTAGGGACAAGGAGGTTTAAATATGGGAACTGATAGCTATATCCTTCTTAGTTGGCCAGTTACTGCAGTTCTAGATCTAATCTATGGCAAGAATTGGGTGTTAAGGAACTTGAGGTGTGAAATATTTATTAGATTTAAATTGATCAGGCTGCTCTCTGTCCACAAGGATCCAGACCCAGGGGCAGGGGGAGCACCTGTCCCGGCTGCCTTCAACTTATCATTGCTGAGTTCTGTTGCTGTTGGACTCTTCTTTTTCTTTTGGCTTTTTTTCTGGTATTGGGAATCGAACTCAGGACCTTGCGCTTGCCAGGCAGGCGCTTATGCCACTGAGGTATATCGCCAGCCCGGGCTCTTTCTGGAGTGACTACATTTGTCTCCTTAATGCCCTTTATTAGGGTCACTTATCCAACTGCCTCTGAGGAAACCCGGCCTTCCCATCCCAGTTAGTACTCACCACAGTCTCACTCACTGTCATGTATCATCTTGATCATCTTTCCACTGTTCATAATAAAACTATAAGCAGACAAGCAGTTGAGAGTATAAACTAAAGGTAGTATATGTTCACATTTTGAAAGATAACCTAGGCATATAAGAGTAGCATGGAAATATCCGATTTTTATACCTTCCAATTCTTCTCTTGTTTTCCTCCATTTTTTGATTTGCTATATTCAGCAGGAAGTCAATATACTCCTCCGTCACCATCAATTTTCCCTTATGGCTTAATGGAACTTCTAAGCTGTGTGTACTCCGGACGGCCTATGAGGAAAAAACCAATTTAGATATGAAGACTTATACACCAGGGCTCTGATGATAACTGAAGAAAAGGCCTGGTTGTGGCTGGGTTTGAACTCCACCACGGCATGTAAGTCTGCATTTTGATATAATTGAACTGAACACAGTTGAAGCAAAAAAGACTAAATAGATGTTCCCATCACATACAGTTATTTCTGAAGAAAGGCGTTCTGTACATTGTCTTTCAAAGAACAGATAATATCAAGGAATCCAATAACTTTTAACAGTTTCAATCTCACTATGGCTTACAAAGCTTTAATACACAATTTAAAGAAAAGAAATAAATGGAACCACAACAAAGCTTCAAGGGAAGATCAAAAGGGATGGATGCCAGAGTCTCTTAATGCTGCTTGAGCTGAATACAGTTATAAGATTAAACCTCGCCACTTCCATCCCACAAAGTGACTGCTTGCTTTTGCTCCAGGGTTCCCACCTTAGTGACCCTGCTGATGAAACAGTCAACAAATTCCAAACGCTGGACAGACGTTAAGAAAGACAGCAAAAACAAACAAACGAACATTCTACAAAAGTATTATGAACAAGATAATCCACTTAATGAAGTTTTACCACACATCTGCGATATTCTAAGCCCCCTCAGAGGTACAAAGATGCAAGAGGAATATAAGGTAGTATGGGCACAAGAGCTCACTTTACAATAGAAAATAAACAGATGGGCAAAGAATGACAATACATCAGAGGGGTCAGGACAGAAGAAACACAGATACACAATGCAAAGGCAATGTGGAAGAGGCACAACTAGTTAAGTCTGAGGACTCAACACTACAGCAAAGGCAGCATTTGATTTGGGACTTTTAAAGGCTAAGTGAACTTTCATCAGACATAAAAATGAGAAGAGGGGATTCTAGCCAGAGAAGCAAGTTATCTGTGGGCAGAGAGACACAGAATAGCAGGATACATTTCGGAAACAACTAACAGTTCTATATGGCTGGAGCGTCAGTGTGCTAGAGAGATGAACATAAATAAGTTGACATAAAACAGTTTGGATAAGGCTTTGCGTATAAGGGAAAATATATGCGACCCTGAATTTTCAAGGGGTGGGGTGGGGGCTGTGAGGGTTGGAATTGGGGAGGAAAAGACCTAGAGTAGGAAGAGCAGTAGGGAAAGGCAGGGCAAAGGCCCGGGGTAGGTTCTGGTGTGAGAAACGAGACAGGAAAGATAGGACCTGGATGTAACTGCATTCAGAGGACAAAGGAGAAGAAGGTAAAAACAGCTGTGTTCTTCCTTGGGTCACCAGAAGCAGTGTGTGTGTGTGTGTGTGTGCATGTGTGTAGCAAACCGGTTCTGAGGACTTTGATTTTCTATTTCTTAATGCTTTACACAGGCGTCTTGTTTTGTTAGCCATTTCTATTTTGCAAGTAGGGTATCTGTTAAAAACAGACAGAAAAAGTCTAGGGAGCTCAAATACAGGGTAACCTGAAACAGTTCAAAAATAAACAATAGCCGCTAGGCCAAACAGGGAGTATCACAAGAGATCACAGCAGGGCTTGCCTCGGCCAGAAAAGGACAAAAGAATGTGGGACTTGGGACTGAAAGGTCATCCAGTCCAGGGACTAGCAAACTTTTTCTGTGGAAGGACAGAGAGAAATATCTTTGACTTTGTTGGCCGTACAACATTTATCACAACTACTCAGTTTTGCACTGTGACACAAAAGCAACTTTAGCTGATCATTTATCAGTGGGTATAGTGAGACCTGGCTCCCATGGGCCGGACAGCAGGCTGCTGGACCCATGACAGAACTGAGAAATTCAAACCTGGGGGACTAAGGAGCCTGCACAAGTTCATACGGCATAGCCGTGGGGCAGTGGAATCAACACACACGACTTTTACCCCTCTGTAGCTCGCACTCCTCCATCCTGCTACTCGTCTGATTGGGCCTTGACTACTCAGGCTGAGGAGGACAGAGCTAAGAATCTGCTTAAAAGTCAGTAGAGGATGGCATCATGCAATAAGAACTCAACTGTCAACTGAAGCTCTGGACTTTGCCTGTAGTAAAGAATATGTCACTGAAGGTCTCTGGAGAAGACAATTTGAGAGAGGAGAGAATAAAGGCAGGAGTCTAATGAGGTTATTCACCGATTGGGATCGCTTCACAATCCAAAGAATTACTCTTTGCCAGAAGTTATCTTACCAACATAGTCTTTCCTTTCTTTCCCACTGTGATGCCAGAGTTCCTAAAACCAGAATCAACTGCCACTGAATGCTGTAAGAAAATAAAACTTGTTAGATTCTGATACTCGGCTACTAAGATCTTTTGTTCAGTTCCACCAAGTAAAGAAACAGACTATAAGGCCCAAAGCTGCTAAGGTCTTTTGGCTTATGGACATGCTTCAAAGTCCTATTAGACTTCCTACTAGAGACACCAGAATACCTTTTCAGAAATGTCATTGAGAAAGAGTAAAACTAGAATTCAGTAAAACACAGACACATCTAGCTAGAGACTGTTTACATAAAGCAGAAGATAACCAAAACACAATCATTCACATAACCATAGGGCATAAAAGTATACAAAACAAAAAAAATTCTCTTTTAAATGAGTGGAATGTTTTCTCTAAATACAGATATTATCTCAGCATCCTTTCTAATTGTAAAGTTTGCTGAAATAATAGGACAGAAGCATAAAAAGTGTAAAAATTCAGAATGCATGCTATGACTTTATATTATTTTACATTGTTTTATAAGTTCTAAACATCTACATGTCTCTAAGTGGAGCCTTGGGACCAGCTGTGGGCCTCTTCGTTTCTTATTCACGGTTCTTAATCAAGAATAATTTCTGTCCCCCAGTGGACATTTGGCAGCATCTAGAGACACTGCTGGTTGCTAGGGTGTCACAAATGGGGCGCAGGTTAACAGGGTTGGGGGTGGAGAACTGGTACATAGTGAGTAGAGCTGAGGGATACCACTCAAACATTCCACGGTGCACAGGAGCCCTCCAAAAGGTTATTTGACCCAAAATGTCAACAGTACCACACCTGCTCTAAGTACACTTTAAGAGCCTATCTGGTTCTCTGGTTTAAGCACCACATGTATGTTGAGGAATCCTATTTCCAGTTCACATCTCTGCAGTGAAACTGATCCCACCTTTTATAAATCTTTCACAGCCAGCCTTTCTCACTTCACTGAGCATTCATCACCCTTCCACCTGCTCAGGCTCCAGCTACCTTTGGTGCTTTCTACCCCTGCATTCCCTCCACCCAGTTCTTATCTGAGGGGCGTGGCTTGAAGTGCTAAGCCCTGGCACCTCCCCCGTGTGTATCTGCAGTCTGGTTTGCTCCTCTCCTCTGAGTTCTACCTAAGCACTATCTGAAACTTTCACTTAGATGTGAAATGAACTCAATCCTATCCATGGGGTTTCAAACGTCCTACTTTGAATCTCTTAGCCAGAAACGGGCTGGACTTGGTGATAAGGCCTTAAGGTGGTAATTAAGCTTGAGGCAGCCCTGGAGGGCATGACTGTGATGGAACAGGACTGGCCTCCTTTTAAGAAGGGACTGTGACTGCAGGGGAAAGGCAGCAGGTGCCCATCTGCAAATCAATGAGAGGCCCTGGGAGAGACCAAGCCCGCAGGCATTTAGTCTTCACTTCCAGCCTCCAGAAGAGTGAGAAAATGCATTTCTTGTAAGTCACCTTATTATGGCAGCCCTAGCAGACAGTGTCCAGCATCTCAGACAGGTGTCTTAAGGACATGTCACACTTAATATATGACTCACATGTTTGATCCCTACCCGTCAGCCTCTGGCACTCCCCATCTGAGCAAAGGGCATCCACGCGCTCAGGTCAGACCTAAGGAGCTAACTTTGATTCCCTTTTTGCCTTCTCCCTTGGGCCATTCTTCCAGGCAACCTCACCATCCTATTGATTCAAACACTCAAATATACTTTGAACCTGTCCACTTCCCATCTTTGTCAGTGATATGACGTTAGGCCATGTCCCACTTAGAGCACTGCAACTGAGTCCTAAGTACACTGAACAGCATGGATGTTTCCAGATGATAAACCTCATCAAGCCACATCCTGCTGCTAATCATCCCTTCACCAACTCTCCCTTGCACTGAGAAGCCCATCCAGACTTTCCCAGGTCTGTAACACTCCAGACGGCCTGAGCCCTGCCTCCCATGTCTTCTCTTGGTCCACGCTCCCCTTTGCACCTCACACTTCTTTCTGTTCTGTGAGCATGCCCAGCTTTTTCTTGCTTCTGAAACTGTACACTATATAATTTTTCATCCCTCGGAATGTTTATTTGCCAGGTTTGGCTCTTCCTGTTCCTTTTAAGTCTTGTCTTAAAGAACTCTCTTCAGGAAAGCCTGTACTAAAAGCCACCTTTTATGCTGTTCTCCATCCCTGGAGAACACCTTGTCAGTTTGGCCTTTTGTGGACATTCCACACCTGGCAGTTACTTTCCTTATTTACTGTTCAGTTGTTTGTTCTTGCTGTCTCCTAACCTCCACAGAGGAACCAAAACAGTCTGTAATCTTGCTCACCACCGTGCCCTGGTGCCTGACACACTGGGAGTCCATGCGTTCTTGTAAGTGAACGCTTGTCATGTGAGTGAATGTCCTCTGTAAACACACAAAAGGTGTAACAATGAATACGGCAATGAAACAGAATCACAACTAATTGCATGTCTCCCTAAGGCTCACTTAAATGAGGGAAAAATGAACGTATAAAATTATCTTCAAGCCGGGGTCTTGCCGTCTTGGCCAGCTGCCCTTGCATTTGTGATTTTCCTGTCTCAGTTTTCCCACTGTCCGGGATTACAAAACACACAGAATGCTGACGTAAACTTTATGAACAGAAAAATTAAGGAAGCAAACAGGAAGCCTACTCTGGATATTAAAATTTGCAAGTGATTATCAGGTACTCTTTTTTTCCTAACGGTAAAAGTAACAAATAGATCAGACAGCCTAAGAAATGAATGAAAACTAGCTCAATAAACACAGACATTTCTCAAGATGTAAAGCTTGGAATGAAGTCAATCCACAGACCTACAAGTTCAAGGACAAAAACTTTACCAGGAGCTGCGCATCCTGCAGCTGCCGACACTGCACATGAAGAACAAGGGGCTCAAATTTCAAGACTGCGTCGCCGCTGGCTTTCTTCAGAGCCACCACCTAAACAGGAGAACAGTGAGAACATTGGCACCAGCATGTGACTCTGCCCTTCGGTGATGCTTTGGCTACCACGGCCGTTTTTCCTAGACGGCTACAGGCTTGCTCAGCACGCCTGAATGACTTCTTTACCTGGAGCTCTTCTGTAATAGTGCTTCCCTCTGCTGTCTTTATCCTCTCCCACACACACAAAAATATTAATTTGCTTATTTTCTTAAAAGCCCTGATTTCCACCTCTCCCATCAACCTTCTGTATCATTTTTTCCCCAACTATTACAATGCACTAAGTAAACTACCCTTTTATTTAATTCTGATAGATGTGTGAATATGGTGTATGAAAACTGTCCTGCTAACACAGATAGTATAACTGGGGGCCATGGGACCACTCTCTTTCACTCACTGGAACATGGGCAGTGCCCCAGGGTCAACACCTCTGAGTTTAGTTCTAAGGCCCCCTACGAAGAAGTAGAGATAGAAATGACAAAGACCCCTGGAAAGTCCTGAATGTACAAACCAAGACTCATGTGGGCCAAACTGCCTGTGTGACCTACAACGAATGACTTCTTTACCTGGAGCTCGTTAAAGGTTCACACATCTGGACTGCATCTCACGCATTCAGTGATAACCGAGTGAATGATGGGAAAGGACATGCACCGCAGACACAGCTGACATGACTCAGCACTCTGCCGATCATGTTGTCAATCACGCTGTCAAAAACCCAACGGGAGGTGCCCTATGCCAGGCACATATTTTAAATCCTTAAGCCTGACATATTCTGCACTTGGGCCATTTTTCCTTTCAGCTGGCATGAGTCTGTCTGCTCTGAGTGAATCTTCCACCTTTAGACTTCATTAAACTTAGCTGCTTTTTCTTATGGTTGTGTGCAACTCTGAAAATGCTTTGTTCATCAGACTCAGGAACCTGTCCACGGTCCCATTACACTAGGACCTTGTTTAAATTTGTTGTTAGACTAATAAAAGACACATATATTGTGAGAAAAGGCGTTCAAGCACAGCCTCATGCCTCTGCTGTGCTCCCAACGAGGCTTTGTGTTCCATGCAGGAGCAGTGGTAAACTCCTAATCATACCGCACATGAAAAACCACAGAACACAGGCAGCATATTTTTGTTCCTTTTGTATGGGGCACAAGTAAAATTTTCTTGGAATTGCTTAGTTACCTGTGCATCATTTAAAAATAAGCAAATTACTGGGCACTGGGCAGGCATGTCCTCAACATTCTGGATTTTATGTCCCGTGGAGTAAGGGCCAGGGACCTTCCACTGCAGTACCAAGTGGGGTGCAAGCAGTCACAATGCTCTTGTTGGGTGTGTTACGGATCCTGACACACGGTAAGGAGCTGGGTCTTGTTCAGTCTTTAACCACCTGCTGCAAGTGAAAATGACACCACTTGAGCCAACCCCAATCCTATACTTGTCTCTTTCCTGCAAGGCATTTACCTGCATTTGACCCTGGTAGCATTCCAGGTGTTATAGTCTGTCCGGTGGCACAGCGTGACTACCTAGTGAAACATATAATATGAAGTCTGAGCTAGAATTTATAGAAGATAGTTATTATTTCTGTCTGCCCAGCATTCTTGAGTAGCACTTTCCCTCCCTGCACCATCCGAGTCTGGTGGGACTATCAATCATGACCCTGCCACTCACTCACTCTCCCTGGTATATCCAAGGCAGCCGGTGCCAAGGTCTAATCAAGGACACTGTATCATCTCAGTAGGTGAAAGCACAGATCTAAAAGGGAGCGCAGTGAACCCGTGCAGGATAACTCAGAGTCCTTCTCTGGGAATAATACACAAATCACAGAAAAAGCAAGTCATTTTTTGTTGGAGTTGCTTGCTACAGAAATAATCATCTGCAGCAGAAGCGAACGCAGGGGCCAGTATCCAAAAGATGGTGTGCTCTGAAGAGAACACATGAGTACCTGCACCAGCAATGCCTGATTTCATATCCCCTCTGTCCTTTCTTTTTTTTTTTTTTTTTTTTTTTTGTTTTGGTTTTTTTCCAGTACCGGCAATCGAACTCA